TCATTACGTTATATATGCTGAGTGGCAAACACTAACAGGTAGGTAATGAGCATTGAGTGTGGCAAGTTCTTGTGTTAGAAATATGGCAGTAAACATGACAAAAAGCAACATTTCTGTGCTCATGGGCTTATGTTCTAATTGGTGTGAATAGACAAGAAACAAAATACCCAAATCATGTGATATTTTATAAACTGAAAGTATAGTAATGAATAGTTAAAAAGTGAAAGAGAGACAAGGAAGGAGTGGAGAGTGCATTTTAAGTAGAGTAGTTAAGTTAGGCCTTGCTAAGAAAGTGAAATATGAGTTCAAGTTTAAGTAACCAACTGGCAGGACAGAGTTTCTCAAGAGTGTTAGTCATATAATCCTTACTTATATAAAAAGTAAGAAAGGTGATTAAGATGAATACTTTAAAATAAAGCATTTGGGTGAAAACAATCTGTTGGAAAATGGTACAGAGATAACTGGAAAACCTTATGCAAAAAAAGCCAGAGTTGGGCCCCTACTTCAGTCCCTATGCAAAAATTAATTCAAATCGATCAGTGACTTAAATACAAGCTAAAGCCATCAATCTCTTGGAAGAAAACAGTCACAAGTTTTATGGCCTTTGCTTTGGGAATGCAGGCTTAGATTTGACAATAAAGTCAACAACAAAAAAACCAGCACAGATAATCTGAGCTTCATTAAAATTAAAAACTTCTCCGTGTTAAAGGACATTATCAAGAATGTGAAAAAGCAACCTACAGGATGAGAGGAAGTATTTGGAAATCAAATATATTTAGGGGCACAATAATCCTGAACATAAAAAGAACTCTGACAACTCAACAACAAAAAGACAACCCAATTAAAAAATGGGCAAAGAACTGAAAAAGAAGATATAATGTCCAATAAGCATGTGAAAATATGTCCAGTGTCACAGTGAGAAGTCGCTTCATATTTATTAGGATGTCTTCAATTAAAATAACAAAAAGTAGGAAGTGTTGCAAGGATGTAGAGAAATAGGACCCCTTGAACACAGCTGATGGGGGTGAGGCATAGCTCAGTTTCTCAAAAAGTTAAAAACAGAACTGCCATATGTCTCAGCAATTCTACTTCTAGTCATATACTCAAAGGAAAGGAAAGTATGTCTCCACAAAGAGAAACCTGTACTCAAATGTGTACAGTAGCATTATTTGCAAAGCTCAAAGGTAGGAAAATGAGACTGTCTGGGAATGATTGGTTTAACAAATTGTGGTACACACATACAATGACATATTAATTCAACCATATAAAGGAATAAGGTAAATCTAAGCGTGGTGGCACACACCTATAATCCTAGTTACTTGAGAGGCAGATGCAGGAGGATAGTTTGAGGCTAGTCTGGAGAAAGTTAGTGGGACCCTAACTTTCAAAAACAGAAACAAAAAAATCCAACAAACAAATACAAAAAACAAAAAATACAAATCAAAAAGGCTGGGGTGCGTGGCTCAAATAGAGGCCTTGGGTTCAATCCCCCACCTCCTAAAAAAGGCAAAAAAAGGAACAATGTATTAGACATGCTTCAACTTTGATGAATTTCAAGAATATTATGCTAAATAAAAGAAGCCAGACATAAAAGGTCATATAATGTATAATTCCTTTCACATAACCTATCCAGAACAGGAAAACTCATAGGAACAGATAGCTGCCTAGAGGCTGTCAGGGGCTGGGGAGGAGGTGGGAGTGATACTTACTCGGTATGCATGGGAGTGAAACAATGATGTGTAAAAGTTTTGAAATGAGAAAGAGCTGGCAGTTGCACAATACTATGAATACACTAATTCCTCTAAGCTATACAGTTTAAATGGCTAATTTTATGTTATGTGACTTTCACCTTAATTTTTAAAAAAAGCAGGTGCTTTAATCAATCAAAATTGTTGCACCAAATTTTGGGGATCAGATCTTCTATTTTTCATTTAAAGTTCAGTTCTGTGTTCATTGCAGTGTTTAACCTACTTGTAACACTCTAATCATTTTTTATAGCTTTAGAACAGTTCAGTTCACATACTATATTATTAACCCATTTTAAGTGTTTGCTTTGGTGAATTTGATAAAGGTATGGAGTCCAGCAAACACCACAGTCATTTTTTTAAAAATGTACACACCCCAAGTCCTTTCAAGTCTTATGATCACTACCTCTATACATTTTCTGTGATTATAATTCTATGTTTTATAGAATTTTGTATCAATGGAATCACTTAGTATTGTTGAACCAGACTATGTAAGCATAGGAAGAAATTATTTAATAATGATTGTAATTTTTACATACAACCAAGGATAGGAGGAGGACCCAAGGTGTGTTCCACCAAGTGACAAAGGAGGGGAAACTCTTAAGGAATCAAGCAGAGAGGTAGTCTTCTTCTTGTGTCATTTGTTTTGCAGCTTTTTGGATTGGTTGACACGTAGCTCTGAGATAGAAAGGCTGCCAGGTTGTTTCAGGCAGTTGGCAGAATGTCTCCAGAGAGTCAGGGAATTATTTAATCACGCACATTCAGCCAGCTTTATTTTTCAAAGTGACAGTCAGAGACAAGATGGAGTCTGGCTTTATGCAAATTCCACAGTATACGGTCTTACATGACTGGCTTTGTTGACTTAGCACAGTGTGTTTGAGGTTTATCCATGTGGTTTTATCTATCAGTAGTTTTTTTTTTAATTTCTAAGTAATTTATCACATTGGCTGTGTATTTGTAAGTTCAGATCATTAGATTTTTTCCATATTCAGCTATTGTTAAGAAAGCCACTATGAATATTCACATGTAAGACTTTTGTATGGGCGTATGCTTTCATTTCTTTTTAGTAGACACTGATGGGTAGAATTGCTTAAATCTGTATTTAACTTTTTAAGAAACTGCCAGTGTTTCCCAAATTGGCAGAATCATATATTGTTCCCACTCCTACAAGAGTTCCAGTAGCTCCATACTGGCCCACACTCTGTATTGAGAATCTTTTTCCTGACAATCATTCTAGCAGCATCTCCTCGTGGCTTTCATTTTAATTTCACTGAAGACTAATGACAGTGAGCATCTTTTCATATATTTATCAACCTCTGAATATCTTCTTTTGTGAAGAATCTCGTAGGAGCAGTAAAACTCGACCTCCTTCATTTTCTTAGGGTCCACCTAGGTCTAAGAATTAAATTGGCAGATTAACAGGAAAAAGCATAACAAAGTTTGATGTGCCCCAGAAGCCCAAAGAAACAATCAGAGCCTGTTACTTAAATACCAGATTGGAGAAAGAATAGTAAACTAATGTGACTAAATTAGGTGAAGAGGCTTAAATGATAAAGAATTATTTTAACAAAAATTAAACAGAATTATCTTGGTCTTTTTGTTCTTGGAAATAAGGGTGTTGCTTTTCCTTGTGGTATACAAAGATTGTCTTCTCATGGGAATTTTATCTTCTGCTATTAGGAAGTAGGATGAACGTCAAAGAAATCTTTTTGCATGTGTTATTTTTGAAGTACTTTTACCTTAAACAGTCGACCCGCCAGAATAGTGTATTTTAACCCCCTCAGTCTACTTGAATCCTTTGCTCATTTTTACTGGTTTTTTTTTTTTTTTTTTTTTTTTTTGGTTTTAAGAGTACTTTAACCATTCCAGATACAAGTCCTTTGTAGATAAATGTCTTCATTTGAGAAACACAATAATTTGATGAGCAAAATTATTAATTTTTATGCTGTCCAATTTGTTAGCTTTTCTTTTTATAGTTTCTACTTTACATGTGCTAAGAAATCTTTTCTTAATCCAAATCACACAGATTTTCTCCTGTTTTCGTTTGGAATTCTGGTTTTATTTAGTTCATTTGTTTAGGACTATAATCCACTTGGAATTAATTTCTGTGTACAGTATGAGATAAAGGTTAATATTTATAATTTTTATTACAGATATTCAGATATTTCAGCACCTTTTATTAAAGATTATCCTTTTTCCATTTAAGTATCTCAGCAGTTATTAAAAATATCAATTGAACATATGAATGTGGGTTTATCTCTGGAATTTCATTTCTGTTCCATTTCCTATTGATTTTTTTTCCACTGAGTTTGGGTGACACTCTCTTGTCCAGGAATCTTTGGTTAAAAACTAGGCATTGTACATCCTACATTGTAGTGACTCTGCATTCTCTTTTATTCTTCTGAAATTATTGGTTTTATTAATACACTTCATGAACTTACCAGGATTCAAACTGGAAAACCTGTTTCTCTGCTGAGTGCTGAAGTTTTTGCTCAGATTTTTTTTTTTTTTGTCTTTTTTCTTTTTGTTTTTGCTTGTTTTTGGTTCAGCCTGGCTTCGTGATTAGTCAATGATTTGGACAGAGGTTATTCAGACAACGCAAATCAATGAAGCATCTACCCTCCGCTACCCAACCTGTGCATGGGTTGAAGAATTCATTCAAACTTGCAGCAAATTAGTAAGTCTCTCCAGCTTAGTGAGATGCCCCAACTTTTAATTCTGTGTGCCCCCTTGGGCGGTCCATGTGCATGTGTTGTTTAACACAAAGAGTACATCATCTGGGTCCTCCACAGCTTTCTGTTTTAAAAAATTTTGTTTAAATGTCTCACTGCTCTGCTTTTCTTCCAAACCAAAACTCCTACTTCTAGCCAAAACCTGTGGATTTTTGCCATCAGATCTGGGAGGATGGGAACACCCTAAAGCAAGAAGCTTATCCAAATCAGGAGTAGTTTCTCATAAGTAATCATTTTCCAATTCTTTGCTAACTTTGATCATTTTGAAATGGCTGAATTTAATAATTTTTTCCAGTTTTATATTGCAGAGAAGAAAGAAATCACCAACTATTTCAAGCAGTCATTAGTGGAAGTAGAGTCTCAGCCATAATTTAAACACTTAGAAAAATGTTAAATACACAAAGTTTTGGGGACAAGAGACATTCATTTGAGACCTAGACCCTGTGTAAAAAAGAAAGAACATTACTGAGCATGGATTATTTGTCTTCAAATGCAAAAGTCCATTTGACCTTTAGAAAATTACCTTGAAGGCTGCTAGGCAGTGCAGGCACAGTAAGGTCATCACAACTGCCATGAGGACGGTGGCTAAGTTCCTCACATCCCATATGGTCTCTACCAAAGGAATGCTGCCAACCTGCCAATCGTAGCACAGGGTAACAGGTGCAAGCAGAAGCCACACGTTGAAGGCCAAGAGGTAGGAATAGGTAAGGAGTCTGCAAAGAAAAGGAGGCTCACTGAAACACAGCTCCAGATCCACGGCATTTTGCAAACATTCACCACCACCTTTTTATTAAATAGCATTTCTGTATTGTCAATGCTAGCATATAGAGGAAGATAGGGAAAAATGTTAAGCCATTCATCATCCATTAAATCTACTATCTGGAATTACATCTCATAGTTCTAGTCATTACATTAGGTGCTAGCCTTTCCAATGGTGAACAAATAAGACAGCTTTCATGACATATATTTAAAAGCTGTCATGCAAATAAATACACTACAACCTGAGATAAATGCTCTGATAAATGTTCGATGAAAGCATAGGACAGAAATGCTACCCTGCTTTAAATATGACTCCTGAGGTAAGACCTTTGAACTGTTCCATCATACATTCATAGATTTGAAAATATTTTATCATTTTTATACCAGATTGATCCCTACCAAATTATTTTTTAAAAATCAAAATATTTGTGGTGAGAGATAAAATCCTTTAGTCCCCAATGGAGGGGTAGTGTTCAAGAGGAGAAGCCAGCTGTCCTTGCTGACAAGAGCAGCCAGGTGGACCTAGGAAAGGAAGACAACATAAGAATGGAGTTCTGTTCCTGTTGGAAGCAGTGGACCTTCTCCCTTTGAGGATAGAGGAAAAGGAATTTATTTAAATTTGTTCAGCCCACAAATACATTAAGTAGTATTCTAGATGCTTGGGAACTGCAGAGTCCTCAGCACATAACAAGTCTGTCCAACTTCTGCACTAGGAGATGAGACAACGATTGCACAGCTTCCAGCAGCATTAAGCTATGGCCCTAAAATGACTCCAGTCCCCTTTAAAATACCTGCCCAAGAAATCCCAGTACTTCCCAGAGATTTACACTTTGTTCCAGTCAACACCTAGGAAATAACAGGCCGCTGACTTCCTGTTCTTAGGGAATTAATGAAAAAGGGCTTGGGATTGTAATATATATTTTATATATGCTGTAATGTATATACATATATATTATTATAATATATTGTAATATATTTATATATTTAATATATATTAAAATACATATATATACATATGTATATGTATATATATGTATTTTAAAACTCAGAAATATCATTCTCCAAGACCTGAGAGCCTTTGAAATATGGTCATCAGGAAGGACAGGCTCCTAACTTAGTAACAGCCAGTGGGCAGACACAGCTGGCTTAATTACATTTATACTGATCAACTCTCCACAAGTTTTTACTACTCTGACTTTACTAAGCTGTGCTCTGTCCTTCCCCCAATCTACCTTTAAAAGGCCCAATCACCTTTCCTTAAATCAGAATGGGACTTGGCTCTTTCCTCTACTGTCAATAGTTACTGAGTAAAATCTGTTTTCACCATTTTAACTAATGTGCAACTGAGTTTACCTTTGACATGCTATATAGGATCAAACAGAAGAGTTAGATAATTCCCTGTTCTCAATGAATGTAAAATGTAATAGTGAAAAGAGAATTTATTGGGTTTAAAAGGCAGAATGAGGTGAATCCCACAGGAGCACTGAATGTAAAGAGAAGCCCTCCCCCATTGTTACTGTTTGTTTGGGGGTGGGGAGTGGATTCTTGGATGGGCAAAGAGGTCAGACCAGAGTTTCTACGTCATCTTCCAGTGTGAAGAGTCCACTCGGCTTGAATTCCTGTTAACATGTAGCTACTAGACCTTGCAAACTGATCTCAAGGCTGGCGGTGGGAAATCATCCCTACCATCAGGCTGAGGCTCAGTGAGGCTCACTAACCAGACACTCAACTCCAACTGAGAGACAGGGCAGAGAAGTGGGAATGCTTCAGTGGTATTTCTTAGCACTCCCTGTGACTTTAATAAAATGGCAATGAAGAAGTAGTACAATACACATTGAAAGCTTGATGAAGTCCAAGTTCTGTCATTTGCCAAAACAAAAAGTGCCTTTTCCCTTTTAGGCCTGGGCCATGCACTGTGCACAGAACACCATCCCACAGGAAGAAGACAAGGAGACATCACTCTGGCTCTTTCCCTTCCAGGCTGGTGCTCTTTACCTCTTAGATCAGGGACGATTCTCTGTGACTTGACTTTATAGTGAATACTGAGCCATCAAACGTCACAAAAAATCAAGCAGCTCTGTTCCATAGTCACACCCTCACTGTGAAAAATGATTTTTGCATATTTCTATTTTTGAAATAACAGATCTAGGCCATGACGGTCAGTGACTGCTAAGATCATTAGGTAAAAAGCTACTTATGTACTTTATAATGGATTGATGAGGCCAAATCTGGTGCACGAACTGAATAATCAATTTCAACATCACAGAATCAGATATGTAGTCCCCTTGGAAGTATACCTACATGAAGCAGTCTTCTCAAAAATAAAAACAAAACTCTGAATTTGATCAAGTCCTAAAAGTAAGTGCTAATTTAAAGCAAATACAGAAAACAATACAACATATCATATGACACCATAGGAATACATGTACAAAATCCAGAAAGTGAGAAACAGCACAGAGCAAGTGACCTTGTTCATAAACAAATACATTGTAAGACAAAGTGACTGAAAAGACATAGCAGACCAAAGTACAGATAAGCAAACCACTATTAAAACTAACTATAACTACTTCCGGCAAAATTGGTGGTAAAACCCGAAATGCTGATTAGCAACAGAATTGGTTATAGAGAATCACTGTTAATTTTTTTTTGGTAGTACTTGGGTTTTGAACTCTGGTCCTGGTGCTTGTTAGGCATGTGCTCTACCACTTGAGCCATGCCCTCCCCCCCAACATTAATGTTTAAGGTGTGAAAATGGTATTATGGTTATATTTTAAACCATCCTCACTTTATGGAAATATATCATAAAATATATACATGACATAAGTTGAAGTCATGATTTCACCAAAATCATGATTTGGGATTTGCTTCAAAATAATTGACTGGAGGCAAAGAAGAATACTGCTATGGTTATGATTTTCAAAACTGAATGAGGAGTATGGGAAAGTTCTTTTATGCCACTTTCTTTACTTTCATGTATTTTGATATTTTTCAGAATAAAAACCCATGTATGGGGAAAAGGCAACAATTACAAATATAATATTTTCTTATTTTTTTTCTACCTCACATTGACCTTGGAATATCTGTTATTTCTACACAGTATTTCCTATTTTAAGTTTACATTTTGGCTTTGCCCTACAAGTTGTCCTTAGTTTTGTGTTTTCGAGACTCATTCATCGTGTCGTATGGACAAAAAGAAGAATTTCTTAAAGTTACAATCACAGAGTACTTACTTACATATTTTAAAAATGTTTATTGTGACTTTTGCACAGATTGCAACCCAAATGCGTTTTAAAACTAAAGTAAACCAGAACTAAAAGCAACTTCCATTTCTTATAATACTCGGAAGGTCAAGACTATTCACTTACCCCAAGGTTCCCTTTTAATACCTACATGTTATATCTAAAAACTCAGAAATATTCCCCATCTTCAGGTTCATATGGATTCAGACTGTGTTGCTAATAAACTCTTTAAGTACCCTCTCAAATACTGACATAGCACTGGAAAAATTTTACGAATATAAGCACAAAAGAGCCAATCACTCCAAAAGCTAATTACATTTTAGGGAGGGCTATTTGAGCTAGCTGTAATCAACAATTAGATCTTTCTTTTCAACTCTTTGACGATGAATTACATTTAAGCTAATCATCTTATTTATTTCGTCTAAAATTTCAGCAATGAAATAATCTGTGGAATATCTCTACCTGCTGGGTTCTCTATTTTTTATTTTAAAGAAAAAAGAATAGCAAACACAAAATGAATTATTTACCAATTTTCTACTATAAATTCTGCTAACAGATGGAAAACCACTGGGACATCCTGCCAACGAAATGGAACATACACCACAGAGAGCTAGGAATTCAACTTAAACAATTTAGTCATGCGATTCCATTGATAAGTCAGGAAAGACTGAAGAGGGCTCATGACAGAAAAGCATGAAAGGGAAGCTGAGGCTGTGGGGGATGGCATCTGTCAAACAGCACCTAGTGATGCTGCGTGGCTCTTATATCAAACTCCTCATTCTTATCAAGAAAAAAAATCAAAGCGCTTTAAATGCAAAGATATGCAGATATCCTATTTGCCTTTGCATAAACCTTTTTGGCTAAGAAATAATGTAAGTCTAACATATTTCCTCATCCTAGACAGATGCCTATGGTAGGTACATATGAAAAAAATCAAGCACTGCAAACAAACACACAGCTTGTGTTGATTTTACATCACAATGTCATCACTTACAAAGTCCTTTATCATGTCACAATACTGGGCTTCAGGTTCATTGAACGTACTTACCTTATTTGCTGAGATGGTCAAAACAGGAGCCTCAGCATAAGATACTTTTACTACAGGGTCCTTTTTACAGGACCCTGCCCCGCTCTGACTCTACCTATGCCCTAGTTTGGTGATCTGCCTTACGTCTTCCCTGGCAGTTGTCTATTGTCATCCTCTTAACTCCTAAAGTACCTCTTAAGCTGCAAAGGGTCTCTACAGCCTCACTGTGCCTCCGCAGTGACAGGGCCATACAGGCTTTATCTGTCTATCATCATAGCATCTTCTTTCCCTGCCTATTACTTTCTCCAGGAATAGCCAAGGAAAGCCACTTACTGCACTGCCTTTCTCACTAAATTGGCACTCTTCACTTAAGTTTAGTAAAGATTGGCTATTACTGTGTGCATTTTTCTAGGTGCTAAAGGGTAGTAAGATCGGGCCCTTGCTCTCCACAGGGCATTCTCACTGTTGGTGGTGACACCAGATGCATACATGACACAGTTGGGTATGCTATAATATAAATAGCAAATTTCAATGGAGTTCTAAGAAATGGTAGATTACTGAAAAATGAAGGACTACGGGAAGATGCCCAAGAATTCCACAGAATTTAACTAGGTAGAGAGATGGAAGACTGAAAGTGTAGGTAGGGCTACAAGAAAAAGGGGGCTTTAACTTAAATGAATATGACATT